GCCAAAGCTGAGGCTAATTTCTTCATACCGCTACGCCATGTCATGGTCTGATCGCCGCGGTGCTTCTTTCAGACTTGCTTGGCACGAGCAAAGAGATCGCGGAAAGGTAGTCGATGGGCAGACATGTGCAATATGTGACCAAGCCATCGGAGACGGTGTAGAGCAATTACTTCTGTTCGAGAGCGATTATCCACACCCAACACACGATGACGAACCTCGTTATTGCTCAGCCGATGTTCCCATCGAGCAATGCTTCGGAGACAACGGTGGTGCACAATTAAAAATCGGAATACAGACAGATGAACGGAGGTAAAGGTTAAATAAAATCAACGTATTGTTTTGAAGATTTCGAGTTGTAAGCTATAGATCCACGTTAGGATAGCTGTTGATCGTCCGAATTTGACATGGGACCTTGCTCTGAACTATAATTGCACGAAGAGCGCACGTACAACAAAGCGCATATGAATATGTCTTTCAATGACATTTATGCACTTATGGCTATTTCAATGGCTCCTAGGGACGTCATTTGAATGAGTGAATCGACAGTGTGTTGCCCTCTATAGGTGCGATGAACGAATAAGACTGTGTTAATCTTTAAAAAAGACTGGGGGCGATTACGTTAAAAGGGAAATCACACGAGCTGTGACAGAGATTCGGTTTCGCAACGAGACGATTTCTGAATCAGACAGACCAAGTTACGGTTCTCTCTGCTCATCAAATTGAACATGGAATGTGGAAAATATTTACTTGAAGTCGTGATACAAATCAATTTTTACAGACAATTAATTACTCTTATCTTGACAGAATGTAGTAAATTTTCACAGCCATTCCAATTTGTCCGCGTGCATGGGGTTTCAACACATTATTCTTCTCTGTATGCAACTCAACTCACATTTACTGCTTCGTGTTCGAGACCTGGCTGATAGTTTTAACTGCACGGATTTTTTTCCGTTCTGTCACCTAATCACCTTTTTCAATTAAATAAAGACGACTGATGTGCATCCCGTATGCGCCCATTAATATCATAGCAAAACAATACATTTAATTCCACTCTAGAATCCAAACATATTTGTATAACTTTTCTTACCCTGGTTCTACTATTTATTTTGAACAAGTAGTAGAAAACAAGCGTGGGTAAAACACATAAGGGAAAGACCGATCACACCTATAAAGCATCAACTTCACCCACAATAAACCACACAGCCTCACACTACGGAAACACCTAGGTGCGACAAATACATTTGAAGGGTTATTTGGGTCCAGTCCAATCTTTATGCTCCGGAGTACAAATGGTGAGTATAACACGTGTAAAACGTTGAAGCAAGAACAATCTGACTGCAATTAGTAGACACGCATCATGCATTGTACAATACGATCGCTGGCTTACAAGACGCAACATAACTTTCTCATAGGGCTTCAAGACCTGGTAGAAACGCTGCTTCTCTTGGCGACTGAACTGATTGAATGGATCCATGTGGGCTTCGTAGGCTTGTGAATATTTCAGCACAGTCGGATCTGAGCCCAGGTGGACGGACACTCGGTTGTTACCGGATAGACCGGACCCGGAACCTGCCGCAAATGATTCCGAACGAGCACCAATCGGGCTCGAATAGGATTGGAGAAAACGGATTTTTTCGTACAACTTCACATTGTCCGCTCGAACCGATTCCAGTTCCCGTTGAACACTCGTCAAATGCTGACGAACTGATGCTTCCGCCTGAAATGGGCCAATCAACAGAATGTGAGAGTAGTATTTCAGCGATCATAAATGAAAACAAGCTGATGGTGCACACACCTGATTACAACGGTATGAACGGACTGACTGACAGTGAGCGCGGATCAAAACAATCCTGATAAATATGGTTGGCCCAGTTGTGAAAATCAGATTTAAAATATTCACCACGAAATAAACGGTTCGTGATAGACTAAGACATGAAAAAACCCGTTTCGCGGCATGGAACATAATAGAATGCTTGCAAAGATGTGTGAAAATAACGTTCTACGGCTTCAGTTTTGATGTGAATGTTACTAGGAGACACAGTGGGGAAGCAACGATAAAGAGTGCAGTCGATCGTCTTATTAAAAAGTCAAGTGGATTAGTTAAATCAACGATTTCGATTTCTACTGAAACTTAAAGTGGGCAATCGTAGCTTGCTTTTATCAGCTAATGAAGTTGCTCTGATAATGTTATTTATTGTTGTGTTCAATTTGAATTCAATTCTACCACCGACTGATGCATCAGCAGAATAGACCCCTCAAATATGTGAGGATGTCAGTTTACGCTACTTATGAGTAGCGGACCAGTAAAGTGACTAACATGTCGGGAACCAATGTAGGGACGATACCAGTTTGTTCAGTCAAATAAGGAAAAACGAAAGCCGTGGAAGACTTGGGATAGAACAGGTAATGACAGTGTTCGTCTCCTATTATTCCTTCTCCAAATGGAGAGGAAGGACGACGGATGTCAATGGTTTTAAACTATTTGTCACAGAAACTAAACCGATGAGATGAGTGCCATGAAGGTTCGTTACGAATGCCCCTGAATTCCTCTAAACAACAAGACAAGACAACGATTAACAAAATCAAAAATAACCTGATCATAAAACAATAATAGAAGCTAATCCGCTTACCATATTATTTTTGTATGTTAACACCATTTCTGGTTGATATGTGCAGTATTGATAACTAACCTGTTGCGAGCTGAAATCCATTCGAACTCTGCCTTTACCTGTTTTGTGATTCAATAGCGGATTATGGATAAACTTCTGACGTTCGTCTGGTTTACACATTCGCCTCTGCTATTGCTACAAATTGGACTGCATTCAGCAAATACAATAACTGAGCTATTTTCGCGAGCATGTAGCTGCATGATGAGATACATCTAAAGGAAATTCCTTCACAAATAACGTTCTCCGTCGTGTTTGTGATTTGATTTCACGAAGATTAAAGGATGGAACAGAATACTAGGAAGCTATATTACATTGAGATTGATGAATCGACCGGGGGCGGGTAAAGACCCAGTATTGGGAACAGGTGTGGTATAACCACAATGGTCATGATCTTCGACCAGAGCCAATTTTAAAACCAAGATTTCAGATACCCGAGAAGAAGTGTACGAAGCGGACTGAGACCGTAAGACCGGAACAATTGTTCGCTTGACTGAGCAGTAAGTTTCACACATGAATCTCAACAGATAAGTGTATACTTTGATTGATTCCACACTGACCCAAGTGGGCGTGGAATCCTGATGTCACCGTACTACCTACCATGTGTAAGGCTGTTTAGTAGAACGTTTCAGAACAAGCTTCTCCATTTAATTGGTGGACCAAACAATTTATCAGTCGGCAACATTCAGCAACTGAACGCTGGTTCTGCGATTGTTTGTTATACGTAAGTACATATATATTGAAAATACAAAAATGCTGGAAAGTCAAGAAAAATGTTGAAATTTCACACTAGGCTGTTTCGTTGAATCAAATGGATCTAGGAATTGAATCTACAGGGAACACAATTTTATAAATAAACAGTGTATCTTGTATAGGGTAGAAGCCTACCTGTTCCAACTCCTCAGCCCGGGCACGAAATCGATCACGTTGGTGCTGGACAATCTCGAGCAATGATGTGTCCAACATGTTTCTTCCTGCGTAGCACATGAAATGCATCAAGAAATTATGGTTAGAAAAAGGAGTTCACTTGAGGTGCGAATTCAAACTAACCTGAGTTTCGGTTACGTTTAGCTAAAGGATGGATTAACACTCTTGTTGAACTGATTCATATTACCTGATTTTCGCCATTCATCCTTCAAATTTCAGCTTCAAGTACAACCCACGATTAATCCAGTGAATCAAAACACGAAAACACTACATTGAGTTGCAACCTCTTCAACAGGAAAAATTTGTCGACCGATTCGGGAATCGAAGCTCGGGCCCTTCGTATTGAATGCTTGCTATCAGTGCGTCTATCACCGCAGGCCAGGCCCGATCAGAATAAGTGAGTTGTTCAACTATCACGAGTCATGCTTGCATTGTGATAAGTTCGCTAGCCTCGATGGGATTCAAACTCTTGTAAGCCTTGTAAGCCACCTGGGCTTTTGCACAGCCCATGCTCTACCAGCTGATCCACATCGAAAACACGGATCTTATCACATGGATTACCGATCAAATTTAGAGACACAAAATCCACCGGGTAGCACGTAGGCTAATGAGATTTTCAGAATTGAAACATGATACTTAAATCTGCCAAACAACACAACAATTTGATCTTGGCCAGAAAACAACGAATGGAAAATGTAGATGTAGATATTCAGATGTAGGATATAATCTATTCCAGTGATTTCTTCATGTAACTAGACATTCTAACAAGAACGATACGCATATAAGATTTGTATCTGTCGGGGTGACCAGTCATTATCAAGTAGCACAAAGCTGATTTCGTCATTGAATGTGTATCGGCCATGTATGCAGTTCGGAAGTGTCCTGTCCATTCTGTCTATACCTTTCCAACTTCTGGTGAATCCCACCAATCACATTGTGTTGGGAAACCCACAAAGTGATTGGAAGTTCAGTCGCTACACATCACCGATCGGACTGGGTCTATTAAAACCCCATCCAGTAGGAACGAACTGAATTTTCCATGGACAAACAAAATTACTTTTTGAGTGAGTTACTGAGCGAGGATGAAAGTTTACAAGGAGTAGGGTCTGACTGTACATCGTCCCGCCCCAAGCGGGGTCGAGTGAGCTGAGAGAATGAACAAACCAAGCGGTAATTTACCTCGATCGGCCGGGCAAGGAAACGAATCACGTCAAAATGGATTAACAAATCGGCCACCATGCTCAGATGTGAATGTCGGAATGAATCATCGCATGAGAGGATTCAGTCTAGGCCCTCAATAGCCCAGGGAGTAAATTTCATTCAGATAGGGTTTCGATTGAACAACACCGATACTTTTGAATTAAATGCAATTGTCTGTGTATTTCTGGCATTGAAAGGCACACTTGACAAGATACTTAAGAACGGTACAAAGACAGTGAAAGAACTAGCAGAATTTCATCAGAATGGCGAGACCAAATTTGAACTCATTTACTAAATGATAGCCAAATAATCTAACAGATTTTTGGCATACTTTCGAGTTCCACTATGGAATCCCTTTATTTTGTTCCGAGAATTCATGAGACGCAGCACGCTGATTCAAAAATAAAACTCACATACAATGCGAGAGAGTCACATCAAAGTCAGTACACTCAGGGGATCCTCAGCTGGGGACAGGGCTAGCCTACAAGCTCAGCAATCGTGTTGTTTTACCAACTGACAGGGGGTATACTATAAAAAAACGTTTCCGCATCAACCAAGCTGACATCCGCGGTGAATGAATTGTTAAGATCCACCAACAGGAAAATAAGGCTAGTCAACAGTGTTACCAAGATATTTGATTCAGAATTATTTTTATCCATTTACAAATGATCCATTTGTTTTCAAATCCCGAAATATGCCCATTGATTAGGAACACAATGTAGGCGAATATACGTTTTCGGTGAATTCCTTTTCAAGCCTTAACAATCACGTTTATGTATGAAACAATTTCAATACGATCAAACACTTTATACCGCCAAGTCGATGGTGGGTTTACCCCTCGGACCTCGCCGACATCTTCATGGAAAAGTTAGAGACAACTCTCTTATTTACGGCTATTAGTTATTCTGAACAATATCACCGTTATGCAGATGATATATTTTTGCGTGGCTAACAAGAACATTAATCTTGCCCACGTCGAGTCAGAATTCAACACAGCACAGTCGTCAATTAAGTTCACAACTGAATCAGAGGGGAATGATTACCTTCCT